AGCAGGAGCCTCCACATGAAACCTCTGTGCAGCCTTCTCCACTTGCCACCAGCCTGGAATAGCTGGCTCCTTTGCTCACAGTGCATATTATTTATTTTTGCTACAGTATATTGGTGTGCAAGAGATATGTCTGCTCTCTAAGTTGGCTGCACAGTCTTCAAGTGATCAATCAAAGAGGTAAATTGAGTTAAGGTAACTTGTAAAGCAAAAGGAGTTTATGTGGGCTAAGGTTGAGGCCAACACCTGGATACTATGATATCCAAGTTTCCCTGGATATGTGTACCAGGGTCTTACATATTTTAGAATGATTTTAAAGCCAACATCACAAAAAAGACGGGTGACATCATTGTTTGGGGATTAATAACAGGGCTGAACTGATGTCACCCTTAGTTACGGGCATCATCATTGGCATCAGTTATTATCAGTTGGACAGGAAGTTTCTGGGCAAATGTCCTCACAGCGGTAGTCCTAGTGTCAGGTTGCAGTGGTTTTTGTGCAAAGTTGTGCTTTAGGCACAGTCCTAGTGACAGTTCTTGCTCTCAGGCATACTTGTATTTAAAAAAAAAAAAAAAAAGCCCACCTCCATGCCCTCCCCTCTCATGGCTTATTCAGGATTTAGTACAAGTTGACACAAATGACTGTGTTTAGATTCTGATGAGTTTCACAAGTAAGTACTTGTGAAAAAAGCGATGTGAAACACCAGAAACAAAAACCTCAACACATGTTTGTTGAGGCTCTGTCATTAACCTGCTAGAAATTGTACCCCAGATTTAAAGATTCAAATTCTCGAGGCCTTGCCTGGCCTCTGCCTACCTCTTCACCTCCTTTTGCATACCTGCTCTCTCTGTGCCCCTCTCTCTCACTTTTCCTGTCCCAGTGTTCTCACCATATATTAGTTCCATGGGCCTTTTCTCAGGCTGTGGGCTTCTAGCATACCCTTTCCCTTATGCCTTGGGAGAAAAACAAATGGCCTGGATCCATTTTAAATCCTGCCCAAGGAAGGACAATGTGACCTCAACAAAAAAAGTCTGCAGTTTGGAGGGGCTGACGCACTGCACTTGATTACTGCATGTGGCAAAGGGTGATTCTGAGGCCCCACAAGTACTCCCAGAAGGAAGGGGCAGCTTAAAACATCTGCCAGGCCCAGTGGGCATGAAATCCTCTTAAGACATCAATTAAGTGATGAGTATCCTGTTCCTCTTGCCACTCCTTTCCTTCCTCTTGCCTTGACTACAGCTGGTTCAGAAGTCATAATAACAATATGAAAATAATGGATAGAAGTATAAAGCACCGGAGGGAACAGTACAGCCCTTCTTCAAGAACCAGCTCCATGGCTCCTATGATCTAGCCATTTTGGGGAAACGGAGGAATGAAGAGGTCCCACTGATAATTCAGCCTCCAGTATAGAAAACTCGCCTGGTAGGAAGACTCCTCTCAGGCCTCCTCTCTCTGTGTCTGTCTTTGTCTCTCTCTACCTCTGTCTCTGTCTCTGACTCCTCTCTCTCTCTCTCTTTTTTTTAATTTTTGCTTTTTAGAATTTTGTTTAAGGTGAGGCATCTTTCTGGGCCTGTTGGCCCCACTTAGCCCTTTATCTTGTTAATAATTTCCTCTCCCACTCCCCACCCAGGAGAGATGGAAGGGAACAGAACAGCCCTTCTTCAAGAACCAGCTCCATGACTCCTGCGATCTAGCCATGTCCTGCACCACGTGGTTTTCTAATTTTTGGGTTTTTTTGAAATTTTTTGAATATTAGGAACCAGCAGTTAGTGTAATGGCTATGTTGCTAGACTCCCACGTAGTCGATCGCAGTTTGCGTCCCGAACCTGGTGGCTTAAAACTCACGCCGGGCATGTGTGCGTGCGTGCCCTAGATCACTAGAGGAGAATGGAGGAGAAGGGATTGTGGCGTGACCATCCCTCCTGGGGGGTGATTTCTTGCTTTCTGTCTCTCTGTCTCTTTCTGTCTGTCTGGCTAGTGCATGCGCCCTATAGTGAAAAAAACTCTCAAAAAATTTTTTTTGAATATTAATTTTTCTTTTTTCTTCTAGTTTTATTTAAAGGTTTTTCTTTTCATTTTTTTTCTCTTTTTCTTTGTTTGTTGTCCTTTTTTTTTCTGTTGTTGCTTTTGTTTCCCTCTCTTTGTTTCCTTTTCTACACACTCCTCGACCCTCAGATTGAACTTCCAAGTTTGAGACAAAATCGACCTTCCACGAGATGACTAGAAATCGCTGAAGGACCACAAGAAATATGGGGAAGCAGGAAAATACCTCTCCTCCAAGGGAAAAGGATAACTCCTCTTCATCCACACACAGTTCAATGGAAGTCATGGAAATGTCTGATAAAGAATTCAGAACATTCATAATGACAAAGCTTACAGAGATGGAAGAGAAGAGAGACAAGGAACTGCTGAAGAGGAAGGAGAAAGGAGTTGAAGAGTTCCAAGAGGTGAGGAAATTCATGCAAGATCTAAAAGAGGAATTTCACACTTTACAAAAGAATCAGATGGAACTGTTAGAGATGAAGGCTATAATACAAGAAGTCAAAATCTCCCTTGAAAGTATTAAAAGCAGACTAGATCATACAGAAAATAGAATCTTAGATGTAGCAGAGAAAATTGCTGGCCTAGAAAAATCCAACACAAAGACTGAGAAAATGGCCCCAAAATTTGAGAATAATGTATGAGAAATAGTAGATACAATTAAACATCCAAACATCTGGATAATAGGCATCCCAGAAGGCGAAGAAACTCATAAGGGCATTGATAATCTATTCCATGAAATCCTGCAAGAAAACTTTCCAAACCTGGAGAGGCACTCAAAGATCCATTCCCAAGAAGTACAGAGGACCCCAAATAGAATCAAC